AATCACTTTTGATAAGAAGGTGGTGTAATAGGCATCTTACTTGTTGTTGTTGAGTGTTAAGTGTGATAAAACCTTTTGGAAGGCATTTAGTATCATTTACCAAATTGTAAAAAGGTACATATCCTCTGACCCAGCAGTTCTATATAAACTCGTTGTTGAAAAATAAAGTATATAGGTACAAATGATTATCATGCTAAAAGATAGGAAACAAATGTTTATCCATAGGCGACCAATTAAAATGCTTTCATACTACACACACACACACACACACACACACACACACACACACACACACACTATAACTATGAAAAAGAATGTTACGTATTCATTGATAATAAAATGGGTATTGAGTATTTATGAACCAGGAACTGTTCTAGGTACTAGGGATATAGTTGTAAACTAAACAACAAAAATCTCTGCCTTCGTAGAACTCACATTCCAATAAGGGAAGAACGAAAACAGCGGAAAAGGGTGACTAGAATGCTTATTAGTGTCATAAAGAAGAGAGAGTGGAGATGCACGTACTGCCCTTTGCTGACACTTTTCGCTACGCACAGAAAAATCTCTGGTAGGTGATAAGAGGAACTAATTGCCTCTGGGGAGGGGTACTGGAGGTCTGGGGCAGGAACCTTAGTTTCCGATGAAAATGTTTCTTTTGCCATATATGTATATCGATTAAAAGGGAGGAGGAATAAAGGAAGAGAACATCACTACAAGTCTTTAAAAAATTGGTCCTAAAATCCAGCGAGCCTGAGACGCAACTGCTTGCGTCGCAATGTCCGAAGTAGCGTAGTTTCCCGCAGCGGACGCCAGGGAGGTCCGCTCGGGACCGGAATCGAGCGAGTCTAGGGAAGGAAGTGAAGAAGTGACTTCTAGAGACAACCCAACGTGTGGAAAGCCCTGTGAGGGCAAAGCACAAACCAAAGACGTGATATTTAAGACATGAGTAAATCCTCACGTTACAGGGTATGGTGAAGGAAAACTAGGTGCTGTGAGAGAGCGACCTCAACAGGTGGCGCAGAGTCATGTTTCACTTTCCCGGAGACAGGATGGCCAGGCTGACTGTGCAGCTCTGCGCCTGCGCCCAACGACAGCGTTTTCTTTTTGCCGGCGCGGCCACGTGGGGGCGCAGTCGGGTTCGGATCGCTTTCTAGGGGCCCTCAGGAGCGCAGCACGCTTGACTTTTCCGGGTCGGGACTGGGAAGAAAATAACTTCCTGTGACGGGGCTACGTCACTTCCTTTCAGGCTCGGCGTTTGGGTGGTGGGTCCCCACGCGCGTTCAACATGCGTATCGAGAAGTGTTATTTCTGTTCGGGGCCCATATACCCTGGCCACGGCATGATGTTCGTCCGCAACGATTGCAAGGTGAGGGGGCCAATGCCAGAGCGCGCCCGGCTGCGCTCCCGCGGGCCGAGGCCTAACCCGCCCGGCTTTCTGCGCCTGCGGCGTTCGGCCCCGTTCTCCACGCTGCCCCCGAGGGAGGGAGGCTTCGCGAGGAGCTCCGGCCTCGACCTCCCGCTTGGGAAGTTTCTCCTTGCGGGCGTCCGGAACGGAGCTGGTCACCAGACCACCTTTGGGCGAGGCTGGCTGCGATGAGGTTCAGGAGCGGTGTCAGCCAGCCCCGACGGGGACTGCGAGGGTGTGTTTGGGCATTGCGGCCACTCTGGTACATGGGCCAAGTTTTTCAATTCAGTAAACTTTGTTGAACGGATGCTTGGTCAAGCGTCATTGCTAGGGTCTGTGTCCATAGACTTGGGACTATCCATAGTGTGTAGTGGTCGATAGAAATGTTGCATATGGCTTAATAGTAGACATATATTATGAGGTTGTTGGAGGTGAGTTTAGGGGGTCGTATATGAAGAAGCCCAGAAAGGATATATTTATCCTGGATCTTGAATTTTGCGCGAAAAGTGAGGAGAGAGTAAAGTGGAAGAAAAGTGAGCAGCTTGAGCAGAGGCGCAGAACGAAGGAATTGTGTCCCTTTGTATTGTGGTTGGTGATACAGGGATGGAGTCGGTAAGGCTATAAATACAAATGTAAGTATATGCAAAATGATTAGTCCGGAAATATAAGATATTAACATATAGGTGTACCGTAAGACCTAGTTGAGAGAGACTTTGTGAGTGATACATGAATTTATTTTCTCATATCAGAATGAAACTCATTCCTGTTTCTTTAGGACATCGTTTCTCAGAATTTGAGGTCTCTTACATTTGCTTCTGAATCACTAGGCATTTCTAAATAATGGATTGCTGTTTTTTCACCAGATCCGTTGAATGGGAGTCTTTGGGAAAGAGCATTTAGGAATCCTTAAAGAGGTGATGTGGATGGACATACTAAAGAATTATAGTTCCTACTTCGTTGTCTTACATCTATTATAGATGGAAGATACTGAGCTCATTAAATAAGCAAAGATTCTTGCTGAAAGTGAGAATCCAAAGCTATGTTTGGGAACTTGAAAGAGCATGTAGAAGATGATTTTGAATACCTGCTTTCAGGAACATGATAAAAAATTTATAAAAAGAATCAAATGATTGCCAGGTGGGAGTCTAATTCACAGTGGGCAATATGGCTATGTAGATGATGTGGTCATAATTTTTGTCCAGCAATGCTTGTCAGCAGGTATTGGAATTAGAACAACAGATTTTGGGAGCTATTTAGAGTTTGGTGTTGATCTGGCAGACACATTGGAAATTCAGGTTGATGAGGAAGTCTATATTGCTAGCAAGGACGGTGTTGAATTGGCTGGCAGCCAGTCTGCTCTAGGGAAGACCAGTGGAGCCAGAACAAAGTTGATTGGGGAAGTAAGAAGTAGAGGCTGTGAGGCACTATTGAAGAATAAGTATGGGCGTATCTCGGAGATGTTGGTTCATATTTGAATCTTTCACCTTATGTATCTAGATATAAATCCTTATTTATTCTGCCTTTGCAAAGGATAGTGGTGTCTGCTTTCTTTCTTCCCTCCTGCCCTGGTTCCAGATTAGGCACTTGTCACTCTTCTAGCCTCCTAACTAGTCCTCCTACCTTTATGCTCTTAGCTTTTGACACGATTTTTCATAAGAGACTTCTCTTAAGCTTAGGTAGCTTCTTAAAGGTAGAATTAGTGTTAATGTTCTACATTTTCTCATAGTTTGCAAACAGGAAAAATACACCCTTAATGAGTGCTTAATAAATGTTTGCTAAATTAGTGGAATAAGAAAGAGTTGAAGGACTTTGAGGCTGAGGTGTGAACCGATCATTTGTTTGCATGTTGAAGACTGAGGATGTTGGTAGAGGACTAGATTAAAAGGGAAACTTGAGCCTATGAAGCTTTGTCTTACACATAATTCATCCACCAGCTACCCCACAGTAGATTTAATCACCTCTTTATTGTGTTTTCATATTATACATGATCGTATATACCTTTATCCCATTGTTTATATCCTAGTCTGAATTCCCTCTCTCTTACTTGGAAAGTGAGACTTTATCACACTTAGCTTGCTAGCCTAAGTTCCCAAGGTAGGGATTCATGTTTTAATTATTTTTGTATCCCTAGCACCTGTTGTAACATCAGGCACAGAGTAGTTGCGCTTTATTTGCTTGTTGAGTTGTTGTGCCTTATTTGCTGGTTAAAGCCCCTTCTCATCTCCAATGACTCTAGTCTCATCAGATATTTTATTCTGTTTTTCAGCTTTTCAGATAACATTTATTAGGTATAGAGTTCAAGTAGACTTCTCTGTAACTTTCCATTGGCTGTATTTGGAATTGAGAGACCCAGGGGAAGTTCAAAACCTCTCTCATTAGATATTTCTCAGAAATGAGGATTTGCCTAGGGGTTATCTAGTAGGCATTAAACATAAGAGGCCGTTACTTAAAAAGATAATAATACTTTGGGCTGTAAATACTTAAAGAAATTTTACTGGTAATGATTTCGTAGTGAGTTACTCCAGTAGACTACAGTTCTTGTATTTTCCAGATACTTTGAAATTAATTCAAGAATGTAGATATGTCTTCACTCAAGTCTCAAGAGAGGACTCTCCATGACATACGTACCTGGATAGAGTAAACTAATATTGACCATTTCTAAGAAAACTATATCCTAGTGTGTATAATCACCTGCTTGGAGTTCCTCATAGAACATAAAATGAAAAGTATTTTGGCTTGTGATATATATACACAAGCTTACTTAGTTTGAAATGTTTATACTTCATTTTGATCTATTTTTTTTATAGGTCACATCTTCTAGGTGTGGTAATTCAACTTAATTTATTTTTTTGCTAAGATAAACTCAAAAAAATCACTTTTTCTCTTCAGATTTCTTCTAGTAATACACAAATTATGTGTTCTTACACCTTACAGAGTAACAAAATAATGCATTTTAGACGTATATAAGGAGTCCCAATAAGCCATTTCAGGAGCACATTGAAGTATCATTAAATTGTAAGCACTATTAAAGGATCACATCATTTGGGAGGAAGGTGGAGAATTAAAATAGTGGCGAATCTTCCAAGTAGATCTATGAATATGTTAGAAAATAAATCTACAGCTAGTTATCGGTCCTTTTTGAAATTATTTTGTGTGAGGATGGAAAGAACCAAAGGAGATTTCAGAGTGGTGGTTTGAAACTTTTACCCTCATTGAGGTATATAGAAAGTGAATTTTTGAGAATTATTCTGAATTGTGAAGTAATTTAAATAAAGGACTTTCCTTTAAACTATTCCTTATTCAAGATCATTATAAGGTTTTACTCATTCTATTAAAATGGTAGTTCTTAACCATATTTTCAGGCCCCTCTGCTTTTAGCGGTGATGATGCTTGATAGTCAAAACATAGTTAAATTTCCATGTAATCTGACATGTCCACACATTTCTAAATGGTGTAAGTAGAAGTAATTGTGAGTGAGAAACATTGTCATTGCTCAGATTTTACAATATATTTTGTCTGGTATTGACTTCTCACTATTTGAACTTTTCTTGTAGGTGTTTAGATTCTGTAAATCCAAGTGCCATAAAAACTTTAAGAAGAAGCGCAATCCTCGTAAGGTCAGGTGGACTAAAGCATTCCGTAAAGCAGCTGGTAAAGAGCTTACAGTGGTGAGTATAGTTTTTATAGTTTTTAAAATTTCAGGGTTTTGGGGGGGAGGGTGGTGTATGTAATTTAATTAACTATCATAAGGCTCCCTATAGCATGATTGATGAGTGACTTACTTGTATTTGGATATGGTAATCTCATTCTCATGTGATCCTAAAAACCATTAATCTGTCGAATTCTGAAAAGGGAAAAATTCCTAATCCAGTTTGTAGAAGTGATTTTTCTTATTCTCAGAAAACTTTTTTTAGCTCTTGCAAACAAAGGAGGAAGTCATTTAAATGGATTGAAGTGAAGTTGGAAATTGCTAATTAGAGATTTTGAGAGATAGTTAAAAGATTAAAAGTTCCTGAACAGCAGTCAGGGCTCAGATGATATTTGTAGTAAACCTATTTATCAGTTTCTAGATTTCCTTAGCAGGACTTGGTGTCAGAACAGAGAAATTAGATATAGTGTTGACATGAGAAGGAATAGTGGGGAGTCAGGGCTAAGGGAATTTCATGTATGAGCCCCATCATCATATTTGCTATTCCTAGATCTGGTTAAGTTTGTCCACTTTCAACCCCTGCAAAGGGAGGAGGTGAAAGCTTCTGCATAGGCTATCCTTGAAGGAGGAAGATGTTTAAACTGTCCGCTCCTTCCTTGACTTTCTCCTCCACCAAACCCATGGGACTCTTTACCTCTTCTCTACTCCTTAAGAGCAGTATCTAAGCAGTTGCCATGAAGCCCTTTGCTGGCTTCCTTAACACCAGAAGTTTTCAGTAAAGAATATTTTTTGTGAGGTGCAAGGTCAAATCACAATTACTGTCACAAAAATAATTTTTAGTATGGATGAGAAGAAGCAAATACCTCAAATGCAAGTGGCAACTGTATGAATGAAGGAAGGATGCCAGTCACAGTCATTTCCTAGTAGGTCACCGCTGAGGTTATTGTGATCTGAATAGAGTCACGTTTATATAAATGAAATAGCCAAATACAGAGTTAGCGCTGTTCCATATGCCTATGTTGGGTAGATTTGAAAACCAAGAAATGCTGGTAGTTTTTTAAAGAAAACTGTAGCTTTTCCAAAATTGTTTTGCATGTTTTAAGATAACTAGGATTATTAACTGCAAAATACCAACTGCATTTAGAGGGGACTTGAAGAATTTCAGGGTGAAGCTTATGTAGGGTAGTACCACATTTATTTAAAGATGTGTAGTTTCATACCTTTATGATAAAACAAAAGGTATATAGGTATTGAAATATATAAATATGACAGGTATTTTGGTTGACCCATATGAAATTCTCAATGTTTAAGTCTTTTTTTCATCTTTGAAAAATGGTTATTTCCTATGGTCCAGCCTAATGCAAAGTTTTCTGGCTGTGAGTCTCATCTAGGAATGAGGAATTAGGGAAGCTTTTTCAGTTTGTTTATAATCCCCATGATTGTTATATGCCTCTCTTAGCGATACAGAGGATAACTTGCATACAGAGAGAGATTTTCAGTAGGGCTATCTATCATGTACATACATCATGGTGTGTAAAGGAGAAAAAGTTTGAAAACTTGGATTTGCTGATAGCTCCCTGGTGGGGTAGGGGGAGGGGGAATCTTAACATGTGTCCCGAGTTTGAAACACTCCGAACACTTTGGAAAAGAGAATAAATTTTAAGAAATGCTTCCTTCATACCTCTCTAAAAACGATATTTTTCCCCCTTACAGGATAATTCATTTGAATTTGAAAAACGTAGAAATGAACCTGTCAAATACCAGCGAGAGCTGTGGAATAAAACTAGTAAGTCACAAGGGAATGCCAGGGATTTTCAAGAGAGACTGGTTTGGGATATTGCCATAACTTTAATGTCACTTTGCTTAAATATTAAATTTCTCTTTTTTATCGGTTAGCTTTTATTCTCTTATTCTCATTTTAATGGTTCTGTTGTATTTGTCTTATAAACTACTCAAAATCCTTTTCAGAAGTGGTTGATGTGTCCATTATAAAAATAATGTAATTACTAAGTTTGATATTATTTGAAGTGCCCACACAGATATAAAACATCCAAAAGTTGGGGAAAAATAGAGACGGAGAATTCTTTTTTGGGGTTGGGTGTGGCATACTTAAAATATACACAAAACCTAGCATACTTTAGAAGTTTAGATAATTTGATTTAGGGTCATAAACAGGGTATTTTGTACACCTTATAAAATTTTAGTGCTTCGGTAAAATTTAAAGTGCAGCACTTAAGGTGATAATTACAAATTTGCTTATCAGAACTTCTAAGTGCTTAATTTATGTAAAAATGAAGCTATAGCCTACTGAAATTAAAAGCAGTAATATCTTGTTTCTTGTCTATTTTGTTTTTTTCTGAAGTAGGCAGAGACTAATGAAGAAAAGCCCACATGTAGTAAAATTTACTTAGTCCAGCTTATAGATTCCACTGTGTGTGTTTGAGGCCCTTGGCCCTGACTTTTCTTCTCCCTGTGGCTGCTTTATGCAGTCTTTAGCTATTTCTGGTCTTAGATTGAAGGTGATATTGTTTAACTAGAAGTTTCTAAGGCTTAGAATTCTACATACTTTATCAGTCTGTAATGGATCAGACTGATAAAGTATTGGATCAGACAGGCAGAGCATCCCTTTCAACACAGTCACAAGACTTCAGGGTAGGAATTGAAAAGTTGTGGGCCTTTGTGGTAGTATTTGACACCTTCTAAAGCTTTATTATTCTGGACTATGTGGAGAAATCGAGTCCAAATTTGGAATTGCGTATTCCACATAGCCTTAAGTATTCTGCTTCTTGGTGTTTTCTTTATTCCTCCTTTAAAATTTTTTTTAATTAAAATTTTTTTTTTTTTCTATAACAGGTAGAGTACCTTAGGCTGACAAATGTAAGATATCTCAAATCAAACAGATTAAAAAAAAATTTTTTTTTTTTGCAATTAGTGGGAGAGTTCATTTCTGAAAAAGCAGTTTTATTGAGTTTATTTGGTAAGGAAATATCACTGATTCAACCTCAAGGATTTTTAAAGAGATTAATAACTTCATAGGATTTTCTTTGTTTTTATTGAGCCATAATAGTCATATAACACTATATTAGTTTCAGGTATACAACATAATGATTTGATAGATCACCACAATAAGTCTAGTTAACATCCATCACCTCACGTAGTTACAAATTTTTCATAGGATTCTTAAATTGATTCCAAAAGGCATTCTTGTCAAGGATATTCTTGGAAGATCCTAAAGCATTTCTGGACCCCATTGAATTTTATTTCATATTGGCCTCCCTCTTTTTTTTTTCTTGGTAACCACTTGAAGATAGCAGCTTCAGATCACCCTTTCATATTTTATAACTACTTTTATTTGGTGGGTATTCAGCTTGATGTTGAAACTGAGGTGCATATCTTATTTTAGTTGTATGTGGTTATTCAATTACTATGACCCTTTCATGTTATTTACATTGTTCATGAGAAATACTATTGTGTTCTGTAAGGCTTTATATGCTAGAACAATAAGCCTTGACTCTAGCATACAAAGATGAACAGGGTACACACAATCTTTGTCCTCTCGGTACATTTTACTGAGTACTCCTATTTATTGCTTCTGTTAGATGGTAATTGGTTCAGGTATTATCACAGTCTCATTCCCTTTTCCCACTTGTTTATACATCTGCAAATTCTGTAAGAAGTGGTACTCTATTGAGTTTTTTTTTCCTGCATAAATTCTGTTGTACTTTCATATTGGGATCTTAAAAATAGACTTTTCAAAGATGATCTTCTGGGTAGACAGTATCAGTCTTTTGGAACTTAAAACTATTTCCTGCATTAATAAAAGTTGTTAGTAGTGTTCCAGAAAAAAATATATTACTCTTTGATTCCCCACACTCCCTATTTTAATATCATCCTGTCTATAAGCTGATCTGTTGACAGTAGTTTTATATTTATTGCTTACGTGTGGTATGGACTGAAACACCTTTGTTAAGATGCTGATGTCCATAGAAACAGCAATAGAACTTTAAAAGCAAGAATAATTTGTGTTTTATCTGTTATGTATCTCTGTATTGCAGATCAGTTTTTAATATCTATTAGATACTTCTTACATTTAAAATTTTTTGGTCTTTTGGAATATCCAGAAATGCAGTGTCTTATTCTTTGGGAAGGATTTACCTGCCTCTTGTGTTTGTTTTCCTTCTGAGTAACTTTAAAGCGAGGTAATGCTTCTGAATACTAGAACTTGCCTTTACCATTTTTGCTGAAAGGCAAGGAAAGAAGAAAAGTTACATATCCAGCATATTGTTAGTTCTAAGCCATAGCATATGCAAATTTAGAGTTGACATCGTGTTAGAGTTATTTATACATACATCATCTTAATGCCAAAAACACCATGGGGCCTTCTGGGGGATCTTGTTAAAATTCAGATTCTAATACAGTATGTTTGGATGGGGCCTAAGATTCTGCATTTCTAACAAAATCCTAGGTGATGCCAGTGTTGCTCGTCTCCAGTCTACACTTAAAAAAGTTTTTATTTTGACATAATTTCAGACGGGACAGAAAAGTGGCAGGAGTAGAATTCTCTGATATCCTTCATCTACATTCCCCAAATGTTAACATTTTATTTACTTTTTCTCCTCTTCCCCTTTTATTTATTTTTTCTGAACTGTTTGAGTTAAATAGTTTAATATGTATTTCCTAAAAATAGAACATTCTCTCATACAACCACAGTGTAATTATTAGAATCAAGAAAATTAGCATTGGTACATTATCACTTAATCTTAGACCTATTTACATTTCTCTGATTTTCCCAGTATCTTTTTATTGCAAAAGTTGTTGGAACAGTACATGTCTTATCTCTATTAGTCTCTCAATTTAGAACAGTTCCTGAGTTTGTTTTTTATATTTCATGACATTGACAATTTTGAGAATATGGGCCAGGTATGTGGTATAAAATCCCTTAATTAGATTTTGTCGGATGCTTCCTCAAGTTTAGATTTGGGTAGTGTGCATTTGGCAGAAGTACCATTGACGTGATGCTGAGTTCTTGTCATTGTGTCCTTTCAGGAGGCACCTGTCATTTATTAGTCTTGTTACTGGCAATGTTAACTTTGATCTTTGTCTGCCAGGTTTTACACTGTAAAGTTAGCATTTTACTTGGTAATAAGTATATTGTGGAGAGATACTTTTAAGACAATATCCTGGTATTCTTCAGCTTCACATACTTTAAGAAGCTAGATTGGGAGTGTGCTGTCCATTACGGTAAACACAAGCCGTAGGGACTCTGAGCATTTGAAATGTGGCTAGTCCGAATCAACATGTGCTGTAAATATAAAATACGTGGTGGTTTTTGAAGACTTCGTATGAAAACAAGCATAAAATATCTCAGTAATTTTTTATGTTGATTACATGTTGAAATGACAATATTCTGGATATGTTAGGTGAAACAAAGTAGATCATTAAATTTAATTTTGAACTTTTCCTTCTTACTTTTTTTTAACGTGGCTGCTAGAAATTTAAAATTACATATGTGGTTTATCTTATGTTGGAGAATGTTGATATAGATAACTAGAGCATAGTTGGACTCAGCTCCTGTATACATTTTCCAAAACAGATTTTAGTGGTTGAGAGTGTGGCAGATTGTTGACTGGTTCATTCAACCAGTATTCAAGATTGGAATATGATTCATTCTCCAGATCATATTCCAGGCACTTGAAGAAAAAGTAGTCTTTATAACCAGAAAAGTACTTTCTTTTATTTATGGAGATAACAAGCTTAGAATGGGATTAATTGCTATTAATCTGAGTTCTTTGTAGAATAAAATTTGAAAAGCACTGGAGTGCTTTAAAAAAGAAGGAAAATTTAGTAGCAATAAAAGCTTTTGCAAAATACAGAGAAATGATAGATGTGAAAGATAAGAGTTAACAGTGATGCCAGCAAAGGGTACATACCTTCTTTATTTTAGTAGGGATTTTTTCCCCAATGGGTTTGTCATTTAATCAATTTCTAAATCATAATAAAGAATAAAGAAGTGATTGTTAAAGCTGTTGCTTGCATGTGAATAGTTTGCTAATTCTTATGAATTTTTTTTGTAGTTGATGCAATGAAGAGAGTCGAAGAGATCAAACAGAAACGCCAAGCTAAATTTATAATGAATAGGTATGACAATATGTATAGAGTAATTCTTGGAAAAATAATTAACTAGTAGGAATCTAGAGGCATTTTTTTTCACTTTATGTTCACATAACTTTAGACTTACAAAACTGGGTAGAATAATATAAGGAACTCTTGTATATTGTTAGCATTTTGCCGTATTTACTTTATCCTCATCTTTGTATACAGTAAGTTGAAGACATGATGCCCTTTTCCTCCTAAGTATATATTTCAGTGTATATATCCTAAAAATAAGAACATGTTTTTATATAACCATAGTATAGTTATTAAAATCAGTAAATTAACATTGATACAATACTATTATATAATCTACAGATGTTATTTAGATTTCATCAATTGTTCCAATAATGTCCTTAATAGCAACAGAATATTCTGGATCACACATTGCATTTAGTGGTCATATTTCCTCAAGCTCCTTTAATCTGGACAGTTTCTCATCTTTCTTTTTATATGGCATTGGGATTTTTAAAGAGTACAGGTCAGTTATTTTATAGAATGTGCCTCAATTTCGGTTTGTCTGATGTTTTGCTCATGATTAGATACAGATTAAGGTATTTTGGCCAGAATATCATGGAAATGATGATGCCTCCTTCAGGAGTCTCATGTCATCCCAAGTGATCGTGTGGTTAAGGAGGTATCTGCCAGTTTCTCCACTGGAAAGTTACTATTTTCATTTTAATTAATACATACCTTAGGGGAGATACATTGAGACACGGCAAAGAGATTGGTCCTTTTCAAATTGGGATCTACTGAGTTTTAGCATCCAGTACAGTCTTGTCTGAATCTGTTACTATTTTGTTGCCAAGTAGTGATATTCCTAATTCATTTCTTCTACATTTATTATTGAGGTAAAGCTCTTTTTTATGAGAAAGCCAATTTCAAAACTATTCCTTTATTTATTCATGTCATATCTATGTATATTCATTGACTTTTATGGTATTCAGTGGGTTTTAATTCTTAGTCATTAAATGTTCTAAGTAGCCCACCCAGGTTGGCCAGTGGGAGTTACTTCAGGCAAGCTTCCATGTCATTTTGACAGTTCCTCATCATTCTTTGAGTGCTTTTTTACTTTATGACTAATAAGATCTAGCCTCATCTTGTATTTCCCCTGCCCCTGCCTGGAGTCAGTTATTTCTTTAGAGAAAGGGGCATTAGATTTTGCTGTAATCGCTATGGCAGTCTGCACCATTGCTTTCTAGCTTTAAAAGATTTTTAGAGTGTTACCAAAAAGGTGCCTAAATGAGCACTAGTCTATTAGTCTGTCATTGAATGTTTTATGAGTTTTGTGCTCTTATAATTACTGAATGATTAAAAATAGGTAACACTGTGTTTTATTTTTGAGGAGAAAAGATCTAGGCACTAGAAAAGATTTGTACTACATGTATATAATAGACATTGATATCTTGAGATTTGTTAATTCTTTGCTTCAATCGCATTCACTCAGCAAATATATATTGAAGCCTCATTTTATTTCCAATTAGGTACTAGGTATTCATTGAAGGAACAGTTGGTAGTGTAGGAATCCTATTTGAGCTGATTAGGAACTAGAAAATAGAGTTCCCACTCCTCATGTGTGGCTTATTTGATAAAATTTTTTTTTAAAAGTTATGAATTAATGTCTTTTAAAGAAGCTTTAATAACTGAAATTTTGGCTTTAATGTTTTTACCCTAGGTTAAAGAAAAATAAAGAACTACAGAAAGTTCAGGACATCAAAGAAGTAAAGCAAAACATTCATCTCATCCGGGCCCCTTCTGCATGTAAGTAATGCATTGCATAAGAGTTCTCTGCTTTAAGTAGAGGTGAAAACTAGATTTTTGTGGTCTGTGTAATTGAGTATCAACTAGCTTGTTAAGAGTATTTTTTCATGTAAATGTTATCTTAGTACATTTATGATAGGACTTGCTAAAAATATATATAATTTACTTAGTATATTTCCCAGTTCCAATTAGTTTTTTACATATGGTATTTCTTTTCCCCTTCATAAGATCCTATTTTCTGAGTTACTCAAAGTGAGTTGAGTAATAATTTCATAGATGATTTTGCCTCATACCTATTTTTATTAAAGGACAGTGTTTTATATTGGTGGTTCTCAAACTTTGGTTGATATGAGATTTACTTGGGCAACTTAGCATAAATACAGAGTCTGGGCCTCTTTGTTAAGTAGCTCTCCAGGTAATTCTGATACTTAAGTTTGAGAACTACAGTTTTATACAATCTGTTATATAATTTACTTATTTTTGAGACTGCTTAAAGAGAAATTTTGGTGAGATGTAGTCAGAGACTTGATTCCTGAATGAGTCCATGCCTAAACCTTAGTAAAGGTCAAATTCTGTAAGCCCAGTTCAGTAGATTTGTGTTAATGTACCACATTTTGTTAAAATGTGGAACATTTGTTTCACATGTGAGTGACAAAAAACTCACACCCAGAAATGACATGAATGAACCATTGTCATTTAAGTTTTTAGCTAACCCTCTAAGGTTGGTAATACAATGTTTAGAGCAGGGACTACGGATCCATGAGGGCGAGGGTTCAAATCCCATCACTTTGACTTACCAGCTGAGTGCCCATGGGCATGTTCATCTGTCTGTGCCTCAGCTTTTCTCATCTTTAAAATTCAGGTTATTATGTGGCTGAAATGAGCAAATGTATGTAGAATGCTTGTTTTATGCATGGCATATTATAAAACCTGTATAAGTTTAGTTACTGTTCTTATGTTTCTTAGAAATGGCTAATATTTTAAAACACAAAAGATTCTTTATAAAGTTTTGAGGAGTTCTGCAAGGTCACATTGAATTGATAAAGTTTTTTTTTTGTTTGTTTGTTTTTAGGCAAAGGAAAGCTGCTGGAAAACAAAATGGTACAGAAATTACAAGAGGATGTGGACATGGAAGTTGTTTCTGAGAATCTTAACTGACTGTAACCATTTCTATGAATTGGAAAATCTTCTTTAGAGACTTAGAAGAATGTCTAAATTATTTTTTTTCCATAAGGTGACTCATGAAAATATTAAAAATACATCTCTTCTACATTGCTCTTGGCAAAACATCAGCTATTATGGATGCTAGATTACATCTCAATGTTAAGCCTTTACTGATAGATGTATTTGTGTAAATCATGAAAATTCTGTAACCATAGGGGTAAATTGTGGATATAAAATAGTCATGCCACTTGGATAATGGCACTAGGCAGCAGTTATGTAATAACGATGACAAAAATTATGGCTAGTGATACATAAAATTTTTTTTTGCAGTAAAAATATTCCCTTTTTAATGTTACAGAAAGGGGGATACTACAAGGAGCTAATACTCTATATGATAATTAGCCTCAAGTACTAATATCTTTTGATTTCAGTATTTCCAGTTTTGGTTTATTAACATCCGAAGAAGAACATAATGGCCTCATATATTGAAGTCTAATTCTGTCAGACTGTTTTAACTTGGTTTAACTGTTCAGATAGGCAGTTGTGGATGTTGAGGGTAACAGCTGTGTAGTCTGTTCCTGAAATGGCACTGTACTCTATAATTTCCACTTTGAAGAAAATTCTAACTTGAGAGATTCCTAGTAAAACAAGCTTTATTTTTCTAGCTCAGCAATGATTTAGAAGCAGAGGAATTCATTGCCTTAAAAAAAAAAATTTAAAAGAAAATTGAATTTTGGGGTAGAATGTCTATACATTATTTGTACATAAAATCTTTTTTGCAGTAAGTACCTACATATTATTGTAAAGGTACTAAACAAAGGTATAAAGTATTGATAACTTGGAAGAAAATAACTTCATCCACATGTACTACTGAAGTAGGAGATATATTTAAAGAAAAATATGTGCTTAATACTTCATGTTTATCTTTGCATTATTTACAAGTAAGTACGTTAAGAGTATTAAGTAACTCAGTTTTTATAGTTTTTTAGGACAGAATTTGGAATAAATTACAAATGCTTAGGGTTATATAATTGTATAGTAATGGCTAAATTTTTCAGTATTAGTATAAAAAGAATGGACCAATCACTGGGCCAAGTATTAAAAGATCTTAGTTGCAGCATGGTTTTGCCTTTGTGTTCTTATTTGTAAAACATGGCTCATTTGTTAATAGTATTTTTGTAACAGGGAAAGTATCTATGCAATCAAAGACATTGTAAAATTAACTTAAAGTTTTCACTCCATATTATAGTCATGTTTGTTTTAATATAAACTTTGAAAATTACATAATAGCAAACAAGTTTCCTACGGTGCTAGTTAGGGAGTAACTTGAAATTGCCTTAGTTGGAGAAATTGAGCTAAAACAAAGAGCTGACATTGCACCTCAGGTTTAATATCCAGACAGGTCTCTCTATCAGGATAGATGTCATATTTTGAGACCCCAAATCTTATAAACTGAAAATGACAGTTTTCTCTCTCCACATCTTGGTTGGATCACTGAGATGAATTGTCCCTTTAAATGTTGCCTGAAAGGTGGCATGCTACAATGCTTTTAGGCTAATATTGTTTCATCTTGTCTGGTTGAGACCTCTGCTGGGCAGTTAGCATAACACACACAAAAAAGCATAAAATTGTCCAGTTACTCACTTCACAGAGCTTTGAAACAGGCATACCTTGGAAAGACTGCATATTCAGTTCCACACCACTGCAATAAAGTGAGTATCACAATAAAGTGAGTTGTAATCTTTTTGCTGGTGGAGTGTCTTGCCTTCAGTTTAAAATGTAACATCTGTGAAGCACAGTAAAGCAAAGCACAGAAGTATGCCTGTATTCTCTAATTGCTTAAGAGGAGTATAGGACTGGAAATTATAGAAAAGAATGTTCTTATACTTTATAAAACGTAAGAGTACAGAAATTCTCACATTAAAAAATCTCATTTCTTAAAAATAGAAATCCTAGGAAGATGTTTATCATGTTGAAGGAAATTTGAGAAGGACTGGCCTATTTTACAGTTTGTCATGAAGCAGGAAGCATTACTATTTTATAGATGGAAAAGTTGTAGGTATAGGTAACTTGCCTTTTCTCACACAGCTAGAAGTTGAAGGAGGCAGGCATTTGTGTTCATACAAGTCTGTCTCCAAAGTTGCTCTGCATATATAAAAAGGGATGTATCCAGAGCCTCATGGATTCGGTCTTCACAAATCCAGGTGTTTGCCATGAGAGGTGACTGTGAGTAACTTGAGTGACACTTGACTATGACTTGGTTTCTTCACCTGACAGAGATAATATGGCCAACCTCAGTATTTTTTATGAAGATCTAGTCCGTTAATACATGGAAAATCATTTCAAGGCCACCACCATAGTAAGCTCGTGTTAACATGTTAGCTATTAGGATTGGATGTATATTTTCCCCTACCGCCATCCTTTAGCTTACAGTTTAAATGATCTGAAAAAAGACATCAGACTTTAATCACTTAGATATTTAGTATAAATTACAATATTGAATGAAGACTACCTTGTAAAAGTTAATATAGCAGCCTGCTAAATTAATAGTGTTGAAAAGATAAAGGGAAAAATCAGTATTAACCAACTCAATATCAGGACAGGAATTTTTCAAAGTCTATATCCCTTTTGATATACAGAATTGAAATTTTACCTTGCATGTCTTTGTACTGAGTATATCAATCAGCCTCATGTTGATTTGAATCATTTTGTATCTGTTGATACAAAATTTCTTTTTATAGGAGAAATGATCTTTTCCTAAAGAATATTCTGTTCTGAAGGTAGAATTTCTTACCTTCTGGTGTAGTGGGGTGAGCCTCTGACTTATTGAACGTTATTTCTAGGTTTTGAATATTTTTTTAAAAAATTATTTTCTAATTATAGTGGGCATGTATTGTATTAGTTTCACATATACAACATAGTGATTAGACATTCATATACCTTACAAAATGATCATCCTGATAAATCTAGTACCCTCTCACACCATACAAACCTATTACAATATTATTGACTATATTCCCTGTGCTGTACTTTCCATTCCCAGGTTTTGAATGTTAATTGAAGCTATCTTGTGGGGGTCAGAGGTGATGTTTCTGCCACATGCTCTTTCCTGGGGTACCAGTTACCTGATCTGATTCTCTAGTAGCTCTTTGGTTCTGTGGCCCCCCTCTTATGATCCTGCCAATAAATTCCTTTTGCCAGAGTTTGTAACTCCAAATCCTGGCTGAGGGACATTCCCATCCTCTGCATCAAATCCAAGCAACCTGTTTCTATCACTCTTAAGAGTTCAGGGACTGTATCTTACCCCAGGCACATATTAAATACTTGGTTAATGGAAGGTGCTGAATAAAAAGGTGCCATGTACTAGTTTTACTTGTTTATTTTTCAAATAACTAGCAACTTGAAAGGTAGTAAAGAATAAATTACCAGCAGAGAGATACATTAACAAAACAGTGCTTGCCTAGGGTTGCATACCTGATTTTGCTGCTTCAGTCTAATGGTTAATAGAGCTGCCTTTCTGGGTCTGGTGCTGGAGTATTCACATATCAAGAACTCCTAGGAAGTACTGAGTTTGGGCTGTTTTCTCAGGTTTCTTGTTTTGCTTAGAACTAGCTTTGCTAATGGAAATAGTACTTATTTGAGGAGCCACAGAGTTTAAACATAGAAATAAGGACAACTAAGTGAGGAGAATCTTAAAACAGTACTGCCCCAAAGCAATGTTAACCAACCAAAAAATAAAGGAGACTGGTCTCTGTATTTTGAGAAACTTTGTTTTCAGAATGTCAACTTTTAAATACTTGCTTTATCTAGTATATTCCAATAAAGTGTATATACATTTGGTTTGACACCAAGCCATGAACTCTTAAGAGGAACACCAGTGGAAAGTATGCCATTCTAGTCAGTTTTCTAGTATACACTTAATGATATTGTCACATATTTCCTCTTCTGCTATCAAAGAATGCTATGTAGGCAGTGAGCGAGTATTAAGGGCAGTACAACTGATTAAAAAGATCTACCATTCAAAAGTAAATGATACAACATACTTGCTCATACTATGTTAAACCCTAGGTGCCTACATTGCATCGTCCACTGAATTCTTCAATATTCCCGGATTTTTCATACTACCAAAATCACAGAGCTAGTAGCTCGTTGACTGTAGAGAGAGTGAGTTTCCCCATTTCTAGAAGATATACAAGAAGAATCACCAGAAGATACATTAGAAGAATATACAATGGAAGTAAGGATTGTGTAGTGAAAATATCAAAAATATCCAGGTCTCAACCTCTCAGTACCTTTTATCACACATTTGTTAACAGGTAGTACCACCTAGTCTCAGAGTTGTGAAAATCCAGTGATACTGTAACTACTACAGCCAGGTTCATTGCATATATTCTCATCCACAACCTTTTAAGTCAGTGCTCATTTTGCAGATGAGGAACATGAGGGTAAGGGACATTTGAGTAGCCTGATCCTTGTCACTAACAACTAGCAGAGCTTTGTTTCTAAGCTCGGTCTGACCTGATCATTAGTCTGGTACACAGTGCTCAATATATGCTTATTCATTCAAGGAAAAAATCTAGCAGTAAAAGTGTCTTAAAGAAAAGGACATTTTATAGGATAGTTTTTCTTGTGACTTAGAGTAGATACTACTTTTTACTAGTTCTTCCAGTGCTGACAGGTGATCATCTGTACCAGGTTGATTATAATTAAGGCAGCAAATTGATTCTTGAAATTTACTGTTTTGAAAAATATTACAGCAATGCCAGTAATTATAAGTATTGGAGGAAATGTTAATTTGGCCTTAAACGCATGTTAATCTTGTTATCCAAAGAAGAATTTGAAATTTTATCAACACCTGCTTTTATGAGCAATTTAAGTATTCATTAATTAGGTTTTAATATGTTTATATGTGCTATATTTGAGGCATTGGTTGCCTTATTTAGTAACAAAATAGTTCATGTTATATTTGAGGAATTTGAATCATTGGGAATTGTATTCATCTAGTTAAAGTTCATGTTTTATAGAACGGTTTAAATCTAATAGCTATTTATTTTTTTATGCCAATTCTTAAATTCTCTAAGAGTGTCGAGATTACTGCAAGAGTTCTGTCTTCGTCCCAGGGGCTGAAATTCTGATGTTGACAAACTTCAGGGTTTATCTAAAGTGAGAGGTGGGTTTTGAAGATGCCGATGTGTTATTTGAGTCATCTTAGTAACAACTGATATAGAAAAGAATCTAAGATCGTGTTCTCAAAATGCATAGAACACATGGTGACATTCCCACTGTTAGTTAATTGAACCTCAGAAATAAGCTACTCCTCTCCCTTTTACCTGATGGGAAGTCCCTACTAGAGATTAGATATCCAGGAAGATTTGGCTCATAACAGTTGAGCTACAGTAGCATCCAGAGAGAGACCCTCACACTTGATGGTGTATTACGATCATCTGGGGCAGCCATACATGTATCAATGCCAGAGCCTATCCCCAGAGCGATTAAGTGAGAATATCTGGGGTTGAGGCCCAGGCATTGGCATTTTAAAAAAGTTAACAGGTGAGGGTTGATCAAGATGATTGACATAGGATGCTTCTGAACTCCCCTAATCCCATGGATACACCGAATGTACAGCTACACAGAGAGCAATTACCTCTGAAAAAAATCCAGAAACTAGCTGAGTGACTCCTGTATGACAAGTGAATGAGAAAATACCCACACTGAAACTGGTAGGAAAGGGCAAGAAACATTTCCCGTAAACCCCACCCCTGGCACAGCATTATGTAATCAAGGAAGCTCCCAACACCCACCATCTCCCCGGGGAGTGAAGGGCTGGGACCACACATCTGGCACCCTGACTTTTAAGCCATTGATTTAAAGAAATAATCGCTAAAAATTTCCCTATCCTGGGAAAAGAAACAGACATACAAATCCAGGAATTATAGTTCCAAATAAAATAACCCAAAGCAAATGCTAACATGTCTGAAGGAAGAAATAGTCAGCAATACAATAATACTGTTGGGAAAATAGGGCCGTTCAATACCCTTCTTTCAGCAAAGGATATATATCTAGGAAGAAATTCAATAAGGAAACGTGTTTCTTAAACTACTTGTTAGTCGTATATAATAAATATTTACAGAGTGCTCCATCCAACAGAAGCACAGTACATATTCTTTTCAAGCATTCTCCAGAATAGATCATGTTAGGTCAGAAAACAACTCTCAATAAGTTCAAGAAGATTGAAATTATA